CACTCATACCAATTGTATGTTATAAAGTACATGTACACGGTGACATGGACACATCCATGTCAATAAAACTTGTACCTTATCATACATGTGTATGTATCAACTTCCACATACATGGTATTTCTTACACCGCTACATATGTAAAATACACGTCCCATACAGAACAGAAAATGTGAGATAAAAAGAATATTACATGGGCATGACGTCACTTCAATCTACATGTATTTTGCTGAATTTTATTTTCCAGTAAAAGATTAAAAACCAACTACGATGCTCTATTTCCAGTAGTATAGGTAGGTTTAAAATTAGTTTAGTATTAAAAAGTGATATTACGTCACATGTTTCCAGCTTCACATCTCAATCAAACAAGAGGCCCAGAGGGCCTGTATCGCTCACCTGGATACCTATGCAATAATGGCAAACTATTCTCCAAATGAGATCAAGGGAATATGCCATACCCCAAGGCCAATCCTTGTAGCATAGCTATATTAGATTTTTCATGCCCAGCAATTTTATGTATGGTTATGGGGTGGGGATCTCAACTGTTTCAAAGCTTTGACTCAGAAACTAGGTCCCTATAGTTGTGGCCAGACCCCAGTGATCGATTCTAATATAGTGACTGCATTTGTCTCTTTTTTTCAAGCATTTGTATATATAGTTTTGGGGTGGGGATCTCAACCGTTTCAAAGTTATGACCCAGGGGCCAAGTCTGTAAGGGTGGGGCAGACCCTGGGATCAATTCTAATGTCATGACTGCATTCGTCTCTTTATGCCCAACAATTGTATATATAGTTTTGGGGTGGGGATATTAACCATTTCAAAGTTATGACCCAGGGGTTAAGTCTCCAAGGGTGGGGCAGTCCCCAAGGCCAACCTGGAAGCATATGTGCAATCATCTCTTTATACTCAGCAATTGTATATATACGGTTATAGGGTGGGGCTCTCAACTGTTTCCAAGCTGTGACTAAGAAACTAGGTCCCTAGGGGTTCGGTCAGACCCCAGGGTCTATTCTGATATCATGATTGCATTCGTCTCTTTATGCCCAGCATTTGTATATATAGTTTTGGGGTGGGGATCTCAACCGTTTTAAAGTTATGGCCCAGGGACTATGTCTCCAAGGGTGGGGCCAGACCCTAGGGACATCCTGGAAGCAAATGTGCATTCTTCTCTTTATACTCAGCAATTGTATATATGGTTATATGGTGGGGATCTCAACCATTTCCAAGTAATACATTTTATTGGCCCCACCCCTTAGCCCGGGGGGTCAGCCCCACCATTTGTACAATTTTGAATCCCTGCCTCCCATGAATACTTCCGACCAAATATGATCAATATCCATGGCATAGTTCTGCAGAAGAAGTCATTTATAGCAATATAACCAAATTGCCCCCTTTTGGCCCCGCCCCTCAGCCCCCTGGGGGGTCAGCCCAACCGTTTGTACAATTTTGAATCTCCACCACCTAGAGATGCTTCCAGTCAAATAAGGTTGATATCCATCACTTAGTTCCAGAGAAGAAGTCACTTAAAGCAGTATAGCCAAATACCCTTTTTGGCCCTGCCCCTCAGCCCCCTGGGGGGTCAGCCACACCATTTGTACAATTTTAAATCCCTGCCTCCCAGGAATGCTTTTGATCAAATATGATTGATATCCAGTGCACAGTTCTACAGAAGAAGTCGTTTGTAGCAATATAGCCAAATTGCCCCCTTTTGGCCCCGCCCCTAAGCCCCCTGGGGAGTCAGCCCCACCATTTGTACAATTTTTAATCACCACCACCTAGGGATGCTTCCAGTCAAATATGGTTGATATCCACTTCTTAGTTTCAGAGAAGAAGTCGCTTAAAGCAATATGGGCAAATTGACCCCTTTTGGCCCCGCCCCTCAGCCCCCTGGGGGATCAGCCCCACCATTTGTACAATTTTGAATCCCCACCACCTAGGGATGCTTCCAGTCAAATTTAGTTTAATTCCAACCAGTGGTTAAGAAGAAGAAGTCGTTTAAAGAAATTGTGGATGTATGGACGGACGGACGGACGGACGGACGGACGATGGACGACGGACGCCACGGTATGGCATAAGCTCACCTTGGTCCTTCGGACCAGGTGAGCTAATAAATTGTTAATGTAAGAAAATAACTGTATCATATGTAAGTTAAGTAGGATAAAAATGATCCATCCTTGAGTACATAATTTTGGTTGAAACCCGCTGACAATTCCTGGTGTTTGGCCCAAATTCTGTACTCATGGGTGGGACATTTCTATCCTCCATAGTTTAATCCCACATGGGTGAACTCAGTGATGTTTACTATTAAGACATCTCAATCAGATGATGGCATTGTATGTTCAGATCATAGCGCACTAATCGAAGGCCTTACATAACATGGTTTGATTTTCACCAACAACCTTACCGTCAGTGGCCAAATCTCTGGGTTTTAAGAGTTATCCCACACAAGCTGGCTCTGAATAAGATTTAGAGTTATCCCACACAAGCTGGCTCTGAATAAGATCTAGAGTTGTCCCACACAAGCTGGCTCTGAATAACATCTAGAGTTATCCCACACAAGCTGGCTCTGAATAACATCTAGAGTTATCCCACACAAGCTGGCTCTGAATAAGATCTAGAGTTATCCCACACAAGCTGGCTCTGAATAAGATCTAGAGTTATCCCACACAAGCTGGCTCTGAATAAGATCTAGAGTTATCCCACACAAGCTGGCTCTGAATAAGATCTAGAGTTATCCCACACAAGCTGGCTCTGAATAAGATCTAGAGTTATCCCACACAAGCTGGCTCTGAATAAGATCTAGAGTTATCCCACACAAGCTGGCTCTGAATAAGATCTAGAGTTATCCCACACAAGCTGGCTCTGAATAAGATCTAGAGTTATCCCACACAAGCTGGCTCTGAATAAGATCTAGAGTTATCCCACACAAGCTGGCTCTGAATAAGATCTAGAGTTATCCCACACAAGCTGGCTCTGAATAAGATCTAGAGTTATCCCACACAAGCTGGCTCTGAATAAGATCTAGAGTTATCCCACACAAGCTGGCTCTGAATAAGATCTAGAGTTATCCCACACAAGCTGGCTCTGAATAAGATCTAGAGTTATCCCACACAAGCTGGCTCTGAATAAGATCTAGAGTTATCCCACACAAGCTGGCTCTGAATAAGATCTAGAGTTATCCCACACAAGCTGGCTCTGAATAAGATCTAGAGTTATCCCACACAAGCTGGCTCTGAATAAGATCTAGAGTTATCCCACACAAGCTGGCTCTGAATAAGATCTAGAGTTATCCCACACAAGCTGGCTCTGAATAAGATCTAGAGTTATCCCACACAAGCTGGCTCTGAATAAGATCTAGAGTTATCCCACACAAGCTGGCTCTGAATAAGATCTAGAGTTATCCCACACAAGCTGGCTCTGAATAAGATCTAGAGTTATCCCACACAAGCTGGCTCTGAATAAGATCTAGAGTTATCCCACACAAGCTGGCTCTGAATAAGATCTAGAGTTATCCCACACAAGCTGGCTCTGAATAAGATCTAGAGTTATCCCACACAAGCTGGCTCTGAATAAGATCTAGAGTTATCCCACACAAGCTGGCTCTGAATAAGATCTAGAGTTATCCCACACAAGCTGGCTCTGAATAAGATCTAGAGTTATCCCACACAAGCTGGCTCTGAATAAGATCTAGAGTTATCCCACACAAGCTGGCTCTGAATAAGATCTAGAGTTATCCCACACAAGCTGGCTCTGAATAAGATCTAGAGTTATCCCACACAAGCTGGCTCTGAATAAGATCTAGAGTTATCCCACACAAGCTGGCTCTGAATAAGATCTAGAGTTATCCCACACAAGCTGGCTCTGAATAAGATCTAGAGTTATCCCACACAAGCTGGCTCTGAATAAGATCTAGAGTTATCCCACACAAGCTGGCTCTGAATAAGATCTAGAGTTATCCCACACAAGCTGGCTCTGAATAAGATCTAGAGTTATCCCACACAAGCTGGCTCTGAATAAGATCTAGAGTTATCCCACACAAGCTGGCTCTGAATAAGATCTAGAGTTATCCCACACAAGCTGGCTCTGAATAAGATCTAGAGTTATCCCACACAAGCTGGCTCTGAATAAGATCTAGAGTTGTCCCACACAAGCTGGCTCTGAATAACATCTAGAGTTATCCCACACAATTAAGCTGGCTCTGAAGGTCAAACATGGCCTTAATGTAATGTTATCTTAAAGGTTTGCTATATTTAGTTTCCAATATTTATTTGCTATATTATTTTCTAATTATGTGATAATAACTATACACAAAGTAGCTTTATAGGTTTTGTCATTTGTGTGGGTGTATTAAGTATCACTGGCATCAGACAACAGCACTTTCTACTGAGCTAACAATAGTAACTGTTAATATCATAGAACGGAACTTGTAGATAATTGTTAGTAGCATTATTTTCATTAAGGTTCAGCATTTCAAAAATATTTTACTACTCAATTCAATGAATAAATAAGTACTTAGTGGTTAAATGTTTGCCTTTCCTTATTATATATAACTGCTTAAATTTTTAACATATAAACAAAAACATTACCTTTTTTTTTACAACTTGGTTGTCTTTAATAGGTTATTTAGATTCACAATAATAGGTTATTTAGATTCACAATAATATGTATCGTCAGCAACATTTACGAAAACACATATAAACTACACTTAAAACACAATACCAATCAATTTGACTCCCTCATAAGTAACACGAAAAATTGCCTAACAAACAGTTCCTTATACACAGGATAACCAAACACAAAAGCATTGCTTCGTTTGGATGATCAATTGTTTGATTGCTAAGATACTTTACCCATTATCATTATTGATTGATCACATGATATTCCACTACTTACCTGTAGATGGTCTATCTGGTCTACCTGTAAATGGTCTACCTGGTCTACCTGTAGATGGTCTACCTGGTCTACCTGTAGATTATCTACCTGGTCTACCTGGTCTACCTGTAAATGGTCTACCTGTAGATGGTCTACCTGGTCTACCTGTAGATGGTCTACCTGTAAATGGTCTACCTGGTCTACCTGTAGATGATCTACCTGGTCTACCTGTAAATGGTCTACCTGGTCTACCTGGTCTACCTGTAGATGGTCTACCTGGTCTACCTGTAGATTATCTACCTGGTCTACCTGGTCTACCTGTAAATGGTCTACCTGTAGATGGTCTACCTATAAATGGTCTACCTGGTCTACCTGGTCTACCTGTAGATGATCTACCTGGTCTACCTGTAGATGGTCTACCTGGTCGTCCTGTAGATGGTCTACCTGTCAGTTGCATATTTAGGTCCATTTGAATTCCCCTCAAATTATTAAAAATCATTATAAGAATTTATTTCCACTGTTAAACTCGGTAATTTGAATTCCTGAAGCTAGTGTTCCACTTAAAATACCATCTGTATGGAGCACCACTGCAACATAATACATTAACCTATACGACAAACTCAATGGATTTCTATAGCATGAACATCATTAATGTATCAAAACTAAAAATTATCACAATTTAAAACAAATACAGAATGCAATAAAAAGTCTAACAAATACTGTCTCAGTAAGTATAGAATACAAAACCAAAATAAACAAAATAATTAGAAACAAAAATAGAAAATTGTTTTTTGTTTAACACAGTTTTACCGATTCAACTAGAGAACAAGATCTGAGTTGACAACAACTCCTTTCTGTCCTTGTGATGATTCTGAATTATAAACATTATAAAACTATAGTGACTTTCACCTCTCTCTCAGATTACTGCCAGAAAAACATCTCTACAACACTTCATAAAATCTTCAAAACATACAAATTAGAAAACCAAAAGAGTTTCAGGTGACTTTGACACCTTTGGCTAATGACCCTAATATCCTAAGACTGATGACTGGAAATCTTTACATCTTAGACTGGTGATCTTGATGCCTAAATACTGGTGATCTTGATATCTAAGACTTGTGACCTTGCCATCTAAATACTAGTGACTTTGATATCTAAAACTGTTGACCTTGACATCTTAAGACTAGTGACTTTGATGTCTTAACAGGTGCCCTAAACATCTTAAGACAGGTAACCATGACATCTTAGACTGACGACCTTATTATCTTAGTCTGGAAATCTTTACATCTAAGACTGGTGATCTTGATATCTAAGACTTGTGACCTTGCCATGTTAATACTGATGACCTTGATATTTTAGACTGGTGACCATGCCACCCTAAAACTGATGACCTTGACATCTTAAGACTGGTGACCTTGATATCTTAAGTCTGGTGACTTTGATGTCTTAAACTGGTGACCTTGACATATTCAGACAGGTGACCTTGACATCTTCCACTATCATTAGACAAACATCCAGGGATACTTAATTAAAATCTTAAATCAAATTTACCAGTTAAACATCACAATTCAATCAGATTATCCCAAATATTTATCTGATTATCCCAAATATTTATCTGATTATCCCACTATCAGCCCTAAGTCAAGAATATCATCAAATAGAATAAAATAGGGTAGAGACGAAGAAAACAAAATAACTTGATGATTGGTAGGCAGGACATAGTGACCAGGATACACAAAGGGATTAACAGATAAAACACCATCAAATTGATTCTACTTTGCAGTACGGTTTCTCATATATTATATCAACCACAAATCTGCGTCAACACTTAACTAAATTTGCATAACAATTTGGTAAACTACAAACCAGCTGAATGACAGAAAATGCAAACAAAGTAAAATAAACATGGTTGTACATATATTATAAGAATAAAAAAGAAATATCTAAAATACATTCATAATTATTTTTCACTTTTTCCAATATTTTCTCATTTAACAATCTATATATGAATGTGTACCACCATAGACCCATGCATCGACTCGTTCCCTCCCTGTCCCTGTACAGAATACAGAATGTCTGACCATAAACCCACCAACCCATTCCCTGTCCCTATACAGAATACAGAATGTCCGACCTTAAACCCATCAACCCATTCCCTGTACAGAATACAGAATGTCTGACCATAAACCCACCAACCCATTCCCTGTCCCTGTACAGAATACAGAATGTCCGACCTTAAACCCATCAACCCATTCCCTGTCCCTATACAGAATACAGAATGTCAGACCATAAACCCACCAACCCATTCCCTGTCCCTAAACAGAATACAGAATGTCTGACCATAAACCCACCAACCCATTCCCTGTCCCTATACAGAATACAGAATGTCAGACCATAAACCCACCACCCCATTCCCTGTCCCTATACAGAATACAGAATGTCAGACCATAAACCCACCAACCCATTCCCTGTCCCTCAACAGAATACAGAATGTCTGACCATAAACCCATCAACCCATCCCCTGTCCCTATACAGAATACAGAATGTCTGACCATAAACCCATCAACCCATCCCCTGTCCCTATACAGAATACAGAATGTCAGACCATAAACCCACCACCCCATTCCCTGTCCCTATACAGAATACAGAATGTCTGACCATAAACCCACCAACCCATTCTCTGTCCCTGAACAGAATACATAATGTCTGACCATAAACCCATCAACCCATTCCCTGTCCCTATACAGAATGTCTGACCATAAACCCATCAACCCATTCCCTCTCCCTGTACAACCATCATCTTGTAGCTCAGCATGTACTATTGACATTCAAACTTTAAAATACACACGTCAATATTCATTTTTTTCCCTAAATCTTATGTTTATCTACTCTCATATCAATTTTTCGAGAACTCATTTTCTTAAAAATATTTTGAAAATAAAAATCACATTTTGCAAACACTGAAAGAGTACTAAGATTATATGAAATCAACATTGCAAGATACATCATATCAATTTGTATAATAATACTTGTACCAGTTAAAGATTCATTTATATGTACCTTTTTCTAAATAAACAGATGAAGCAATGAATCTTTTTCATATCTTTTCTTTTAGGAGAGGGAGAAAACAAAGACCATTGCCTACTATTTTGTAAGTTAGAAATATTAACCCAGAGTAAAAAGTCTTTACAGTCCAAGCCGAAGGGTCATGACAGAATTTCCAATTAAATCCAAAACTGAACTTTTCTCTTCTTTTCATTTTTTAAAGTTCCATGTCTTAATGTGATTTTGTATTATATATCATATATATATATATGGAACAGTATATCAATTTAAGGCCAAGTCTCATAAGAAGCATATATTTCATCAATATTTAAATTATGACTTAATTCAGAGACCGGTCCATGATCCTGGAGCCTCACAGAAGTGGATATTAAAGATTCTTACCCTTTCAGAAAGTGGAGAAACATTTCGCTTTTTTCCACCAAGAGACAGAGGGAACTTAACATGACTAGATGAAAAGAGTTACTGCCCTTTATTGTGACTATATACTGTCTCGGTACACATGAGGTATACATCTAGTTTTCTTTGATTAAGTACACTTGAAATGACTGTCTGTATATCCTGCTGTGCAAATCTCTTCTTTATAAATCTAAACACAATGAATCAAATATTCCTCAAATACTTATTACAGCATCCGTCCTTTCTATAAAAATAATATATATTTTCTCCAAACTAATATGGTTTGAATCTAAGTATATATTTTGTATACCTATTCCACAAATTAAGTCTACTAGTGTTTATTTACATATAAGTATGATCAATCATGATGTACCTGGGTTTCTCTTTGTTAATTAACGCAGGAATGATTCTACTAAAGGCAAGGAATGCATAGATACGAAAAATGAAATTTGAGAAGAAAACAAATATCCATGATAATCTTCCTAGCTGTAAATAGACCCCTCAATGGGTCCTCACACTGGTCAATGGATATGATCTGATAATGAGGTACGATACGACTTTCTATTTTTCAAAGATGAGGATATCAAGAATGATAATGAATAAATTGATAATAGAGATTTTTAAATACATTTCTACATTTTTTAATGATGATTTTATACATGAACAGTGAAATCACATATATTTGCATGGGGATGGGTGGTGGGGGGTTAAATTTGTGATTTTGACAAAATATTCTATTTCGTTGGCTGATGTGTTTGTGGTTACAGTATTCAACATTATCAATAACAAAAACTTTGTTGATAAAGAATACCCACAAAATAAATGAATATAAATTCACATTATTGAAGAAAATCTAACAGCTACAAAATGTACATAGAGATGTAGTTAAACAGCAGATGATTGAGAATACATGTACGTGTGATTACTCGACAGGTGGCTGAACGGATTTCTTTTCTTTTGTTTGTGTTTTACATCCTATTAACAGCTATGGTCATTTAAGGACGTGCCAGGTTTTGGTGGTGGAGGACCGTGTTCTAGACAACTCAGAAAAATGAGTTTTTAGCAGAGATTTCTAGACAAGTCAGTGAAATGAATTTTTAGCGGGGATTTCTAAATGAGCCAAACAAATTCTGGCAGGGATTTCTAGGTGAGTCGGAGAAGGGATTTCTATACCAGTCAGATTAAAAAAGTTTTCAGAAGGGATTTCTAGACAAATATTCAGTTAAAAAATTCAAAGTTCATATAGAGTGGTACCTTGTTCTTCTCAAAAAATAGAACTGCAATCCAGACATGCATGCCTGGTAATGGATTTCAAAAACTATATATGAACTTGTTAATCTGCATTCAAAGTCCGAACAAATTTAATTTGAAAAGTTAAATTCATGATAAGAAACCTCCAGGACAAAAATATTATCTACCAGACACATGGCTACTCACGACAACATTCATATGTGCAATATTAAGGGTCATTTATAAAGTGTAGTTTTCAAGTCATGTTCTTTTAAGATATTAAAGATAGTGCACTGAAGTACCTCATAAGAAAAACACAGTTTATGCTCAGCAAAAGTCATGTTTCCCTTCTCTATACTTTTTCTGCGGGAACAACGTGTACAGATTGACATGGCTGCCCGTTACAGTGTCTGATATAGTCGCTTTACATGAACTTTAAAGCAAGGTTTTAGTTTATCTCAAGCTTATAGTTTTCAATTAAACTAATTCAGCAACGTTAACAGGAAGAACATAGTTTAAAATATATAATCTTACCACTTTAAATGTTTAAACGAAACAAATCTTACAATAAAAGCAAAACATAACATTCATGGTAATAAAATATAAATGTTCACTGTACTAATTCATTGCAAATATCACAGATATCAAGCCTACTCTCTCCTCTCCGTATTTACACAAACAGATGGAGAGCCTTCCCGTTACAGAACTCAGAAAGACCTCTCCTGTTCATACAACACTAACTGTGCTTCACTTTCATATCTTACATAAAAAATACTGCTGTTAAAAATGTTACACAAATTCGAAAATCTGGTTTTGAAAAAAAATCAGCGAACATAATTTTCCAGAAAAAAATCTCATCCAAAACGTCAGATCAGACAAATTTTATCCAAATTTGATACACAAATTAAATTAATACAGTTTTAATCTGTTATGCAGCTTAAACATCTATTTGTTGACCATTTCATAGCCTACAAAATATGACCTGATGTGACAAAATGATATCAAACAATACTGAGTTTTAGGATGATTGGCATGAATTGTGGGGGGTGTTTCTTTCAGTGTTATTTTATCAGTTGGTGTCCTCATTCTAACCAAAACTTTTCTGTAGCTCATTTTCATTCCAGATGATTCAGGGGAGCATTTACAACAGACATGAGGTATACTCCAATATGTCATGTGGATGTGCTCTTCCTTCAAATGTTTTTTTTTATGTTTTAGTCTAAGTACAGATTTAAGATAGATTAAAAGATATGATTTTATAATAACTTCTTACCTTTTGCCAAAAGAAGATCTGACAAAAGTTTCCATTTTATAGATTTCTTATCCGGCAGAAAACTCGGGAGAAACACCACTATTTTTGACTTTGCTATGAATTTAAGATGACAACATCACAATGATATTATTACAAGTTAAAAATTGTACATTCCAAAAATGTACCAATACACACCTGTCTGACAAATCTTAATAACACAATCACTAATATGAGCAACCTCAATGTCACATAGTTCTGGGTGACATGGATATTAACCCACAGTTTGTCCTTTCACGGGACACTGCATTCCATTCCAATTTTCTCAAAGGAAGCACCAACTGAAGACCTGTCACAGGTTGTCACAAAATGTCCGCTACATTCCATCTCTGTAATGAAATGTCTTCCTCCTCTGGGAGGGTATTGGTGGAGTTCAGGTGAGCTTCTTCTGTCCTTCAAATGCCTGATGTGTTTGGAAAGCTGAAAAACAAGTATAATATATATAGTTAACTTTTGATCTAAACTTCATACTGCTGTGTATAAAAGACAACCATCAAAGTGGGTTTGTTGATTCACATGGTACAGTACTCACTGCGAAAGAAATAGTCCAATCATTGCAAAAACGTCCTGTGGCAATCTGGATTTTATGATCCGTCTCAAAAGTAAACATACACAACTACGAACCAAGGGGAACCTACATATCAAGTTTGAGAAAGTTCCCTCCAGCACTTTCTGAGAAATAGCAATAACAAACTTTAACTGTCAAAATTTAAGATGGCCACCAGTCGACCACTTTGTTTATTCTATCAGTCTCAAAAGTAAACATGCAAAACACAAGACCAAGGGGAACTTACAAATCAAATTTGAGAAATATTCCTCCAGTACTTCCTGAGAAATAGTGATAACAAGCATTCACTGAAATCCAAGATGGCTGGCTGTCGGCCATTTTGTTTATCTGAGCAGTCTCAAAATTTAACATGAACAATAAAGGACTAAGGAAAACCTAGGTATGAAATTTGAGAAAGATCCCTCAAGTATTTCCTGACCAACAGCGACAACAAACATTCACTGTCAAAATCCAAGACAGCCAACTGTCGGCTATTTTGTTTATCTAATTAGTCTTAAAAGTAAACATACACATTAAAGGACCAAGGGAAACCTACATATTGAATTTGAGAATGATTCCTCCAGTACTTTCTGAGAAATAGCGATAACAAGAATTGTTTAAGGACAGACAACAGACGAACAATTGACAGACAAATTAACAGACCACGGACGACAGGCGATTTGAATAGCCCACCATCTGATGACGGTGGGTTAAACGTGGGGGTTGAAAAGTCAGTATATACTTTTGAAGATCAAACTCTCCTTCTTTAAATACATATTGAAGCTTAAACTACTCATTATAAGGAAATGAAAAAGCTGCTTCAACCTAGCTACTTAGTATAACATTATATATACTGAGGTAAAATTAACATGTGTATAAAGTTGACAGTATTCCATACTTTTCATATGTATATCTACCTTTGTAGAAGACTGCGGTAAAGTTGACTTTGGGGAGAAGCTCCTTCACTTTGGGTATGATGGTTGCCTGTTCATGGAGGTTGGACTGTTTATTCCAGATCTGAATAATGTCGTCTCTTTCTCTAACACTGATACTCATACCTCCAACCTCATCTCCTGTAACCAATCAGACAACACTATATTATCTACAGCCCTCCGACCTCAACTCCTGTAACCAATCAAACAAAACTGTAATATATGTATATGTAGCCAATCAGACAACCCTATATAGTATCTACAGCCCTCCCACATATACAGTGTAAAGAAAGTATGATCCTTTGATCTTATCAGACATCCTCAATCCTAGACTAAGCCTACGTTTACCACTTCCTCAATCCTAAACTAAGCCTTCATTTACCACTTCCTCCCTACGTTTACCACTTCCTCAATCCCAAGCTAAGCCTTCATTTACCACTTCCTCCCTACGTTTACCACTTCCTCGATCCTAAACTAAGCCTACATTCACCCCATTCTTCAATCCTAAACTAAGCCTTCATTTACCACTTCCTCAATCTTAAACTAAGCCTACATTTACCCCTTCTTCAATCCTAGACTAAGCCTACATTTACCACTTCCTCAATCCTCAACTAAGCCTACATTACCCCCATTCCTCAATCCTAAACTCAGCCTACATTATCCCCATTCATCAATCCTAAACTAAGCCTCCATTTACCCCTTCCTCAATCCTCAACTAAGGCTACGCTTAATTACCCCTTCCTCAAACCTAAACTAAGCCTACATTAACCCCTTTCCTCATTCCTAAACTAAGCCTACATTTCCCCCTTCCTCAATCCTAGACTAAGCCTACATTTACCCCATCCCTCAATCCTAAACTAAGCCCACATTAACCCCATTCCTCAATCCCAAACTAAGCCTACATTTACCCAATTCCTCAATCCTAAACTAAGGCTACGCTTAATTACCCCTTCCTCAATACTAAACTAAGCGTACATTTACAACTTCCTCAATCCTAAACTAAGACTACATTTACCCCTTCCTTAATTCTAAACTAAGCCTACATTTAACCCGTTCCTCAATCCTAAACTAAGGCTACGCTTAATTACCCCTTCCTCAATCCTAAACTAAGCCTACATTTACCACTTCCTCAATCCTACACTAAGCCTACATTTACGAGTTCCTCAATCCTAGACTAAACCTACATTTACCCCTTCCTCAATCCTAGGCTAAGCCTACATTTACCACTTCCTCAATCCTAAACTAAGACTACATTTACCCCTTCCTTAATCATAAACTTAGCCTACATTTACCCCATCCTTAATTCTAAACTAAGCCTACATTTACCACTTCTTCCATTCCTAGACTAAGCCTACATTTACCCGTTCCTCAATCCTAGACAAAGCCTACATTTACCACTTCCTCAATCCTACACTAAGCCTACATTTACCCGTTCCTCAATCCTAGACTAAGCCTACATTTACCCCTTCCTTAATCCTAAACTAAGACTACATTTACCCCTTCCTTAATTCTAAACTAAGCCTACATTTACCCCTTCTTCAATCCTAGACTAAGCCTACATTTACCACTTCCTCAATCCTCAACTAAGCCTACATTTACCCAATCCTCAATCCTAGACTAAGCCTACATTTACCCCTTCCTTAATCCTAAACTAAGACTACATTTACCCCTTCCTTAATTCTAAACTAAGCCTACATTTACCCCTTCTTCAATCCTAGACTAAGCCTACATTTACCACTTCCTCAATCCTCAACTAAGCCTACATATACCACTTCCTCAATCCTCAACTAAGCCTACATTTACCCCGTTCCTCAATCCTCAACTAAGCCTAAATTTACCCCTTCCTCAATCATAAACTAAACCTACATTTACCACTTCCTCAATCCTAAACTAAGCCTACATTTACCACTTCCTCAATCCTAAACTAAGCCTTCATTTACCACTTCCTCAATCCCAAGCTAAGCCTTCATTTACCACTTCCTCAATCCTAAACTAAGCCTTCATTTAATTACCCCTTCCTCACTTCTAACATTTATACTGACAGATATTATAAGAATAATATAATTATTAGGAGGAGATAGTGTAGCGACTTACCTTCGGCCATATTGTCGGACAGCTGTTCTCCGATGGCCGCTAGTAACAGTTCTTTCCACACTGTAGGCTGAAATTCGGTCAAGATGAAGTAAGGGTTAGTGACTTTAAACAGTTATGTACATATTTATTAAAGAGCGTAAAAAAAAACCAAGAGGCCCATGGGCCTTAACGGTCACCTGATATCTTTCATATTACGAACAGAAATATTATTCAGTGACAAAGAACAATAAAACCACCTTATTCAATATCTAGCATACAGATTTAAGACTAAAAAGTATTTGAAACTAGCACCTCAGATTCTAAACAAGGAAAATGAAGAAATTTTAGCACACTGACTCCTTTAGGCCCCACCCTACAGCCCTTGGGGGTAGGGCTGGCTCAAAATTTTCAAAGTATCAAACTGTCAACTCAGGGTTATAATTCCAATCAAGTTATTAACACGTAATATTCAAAGTATCATTTGCCATTATAAACCCTAATAAATTTTGGTAGGGCACTTTAAGACCCTTCCATCTATGAAGAGTGTTTGATTCTACCATATCTGGGTCTTGAGAAGAAGATTTTTGAAATTTCAGTCAATTCGACCCTTTTTGGCCCCTCCCATCAGCCCGGGGGATCAGTCAGGGCTCATATGTGCATACCATCAAACTGCTACCCAATACTGATAATGATAACCAAAATTGAATTATTTTCAATGGAAATTAAACAAATGTTAGTCCAAAATGTGATTTCCCTATATAAACTATAGTAAAGTTTACCCCTCCCCCGGGGTAAACGTGAGACTCCAGGATCATGAAATTCACAATTTTGGTAAAGCACCTTAAGACCCTTCCATCTATGAAAAGTATTTGTTTCTACCATATCTGGGTTTTGAGGTGAAGAATTTTGAAATTTCAGTCAATTTGACCCTTTTTGGCCCCACCCATCAGCCCCGGGGGGTCAGTCAGGGCTCATATATGTGCATACCATCAAACTGCTACCCAATACTGATAATGCTTACCCAAATTGAATTACTTCCAATGAAAAATAAACAAATGTTGGTCCAAAATGTGATTTCCCTATATAACTATAGTAAAGTTTACCCCCTCCCCAGGGTCAAGAAATTCACAATTTTGGTAAAGCACCTTAAGACCCTTCCATCTATGAAGAGTATTTGATTCTACCATATCTGGGTCTTGAGAAGAAGATTTTTGTAATTTTAGTCAATTTGACCCTTTTTGGCCCCGCCCCTCAGGCCCCTGGGGGCCGGGGACTAAACCGGCAACTCTTTTTGTTGACCTTTGGCCATGGAAAGTTTCTGCAAAATTTCATTAAAATTGGTTCAGGGGTTTTGTAGAAGAAGTCGAAAATGTAAATTGTTTACGGACACTTGAGACTTTGTCTCAGGTGACCTAAAAAATGCCTGATTGTGTTCTTCATCATCTTACATAGAACACAACTGTAGTGACAGATCTCAAGGCTGACCATCGTAGGGTACTGGTGGAACATTAGAGGCCGCATCTTACATAGAACACAACTGTAGTGACAGATCTCAATGCTGACCATCGTAGTGTACTGGTTGAACATTAGAGGCATCATCTTACATAGTACACAACTGTAGTGAAGGGTACTGGTTGAACATTAGAGGCATCATCTTACATAGAACACAACTGTAGTGACAGATCTCAATGCTGACCATCGTAGGGTACTGGTTGAACATTAGAGGCATCATCTTACATAGTAAACAACTGTAGTGACAGATCTCCAGACTGACCATCGTAGGGTACTGGTGGAACATTAGAGGCATCATCTTACATAGAACACAACTGTAGTGACAGATCTCCAGACTGACCATCGTAGGGTACTGGTGGAACATTAGAGGCATCATCTTACATAGAACACAACTGTAGTGACAGATCTCCAGACTGACCATCGTAGGGTACTGGTGGAACATTAGAGGCATCATCTTACATAGAACACAACTGTAGTGACAGATCTCCAGACTGACCATCGTAGGGTACTGGTGGAACATTAGAGGCATCATCTTACATAGAACACAACTGTAGTGACAGATCTCCAGACTGACCATCGTAGGGTACTGGTGGAACATTAGAGGCATCATCTTACATAGAACACAACTGTAGTGACAGATCTCCAGACTGACCATCGTAGGGTACTGGTGGAACATTAGAGGCATCATCTTACATAGAACACAACTGTAGTGACAGATCTCCAGACTGACCATCGTAGGGTACTGGTGGAACATTAGAGGCATCATCTTACATAGAACACAACTGTAGTGACAGATCTCCAGACTGACCATCGTAGGGTACTGGTGGAACATTAGAGGCATCATCTTACATAGAACACAACTGTAGTGACAGATCTCCAGACTGACCATCGTAGGGTACTGGTGGAACATTAGAGGCATCATCTTACATAGAACACAACTGTAGTGACAGATCTCCAGACTGACCATCGTAGGGTACTGGTGGAACATTAGAGGCATCATCTTACATAGAACACAACTGTAGTGACAGATCTCCAGACTGACCATCGTAGGGTACTGGTGGAACATTAGAGGCATCATCTTACATAGAACACAACTGTAGTGACAGATCTCCAGACTGACCATCGTAGGGTACTGGTGGAACATTAGAGGCATCATCTTACATAGAACACAACTGTAGTGACAGATCTCCAGACTGACCATCGTAGGGTACTGGTGGAACATTAGAGGCATCATCTTACATAGAACACAACTGTAGTGACAGATCTCCAGACTGACCATCGTAGGGTACTGGTGGAACATTAGAGGCATCATCTTACATAGAACACAACTGTAGTGACAGATCTCCAGACTGACCATCGTAGGGTACTGGTGGAACATTAGAGGCATCATCTTACATAGAACACAACTGTAGTGACAGATCTCCAGACTGACCATCGTAGGGTACTGGTGGAACATTAGAGGCATCATCTTACATAGAACACAACTGTAGTGACAGATCTCCAGACTGACCATCGTAGGGTACTGGTGGAACATTAGAGGCATCATCTTACATAGAACACAACTGTAGTGACAGATCTCCAGACTGACCATCGTAGGGTACTGGTGGAACATTAGAGGCATCATCTTACATAGAACACAACTGTAGTGACAGATCTCCAGACTGACCATCGTAGGGTACTGGTGGAACATTAGAGGCATCATCTTACATAGAACACAACTGTAGTGACAGATCTCCAGACTGACCATCGTAGGGTACTGGTGGAACATTAGAGGCATCATCTTACATAGAACACAACTGTAGTGACAGATCTCCAGACTGACCATCGTAGGGTACTGGTGGAACATTAGAGGCATCATCTTACATAGAACACAACTGTAGTGACAGATCTCCAGACTGACCATCGTAGGGTACTGGTGGAACATTAGAGGCATCATCTTACATAGAACACAACTGTAGTGACAGATCTCCAGACTGACCATCGTAGGGTACTGGTGGAACATTAGAGGCATCATCTTACATAGAACACAACTGTAGTGACAGATCTCCAGACTGACCATCGTAGGGTACTGGTGGAACATTAGAGGCATCATCTTACATAGAACACAACTGTAGTGACAGATCTCCAGACTGACCATCGTAGGGTACTGGTGGAACATTAGAGGCATCATCTTACATAGAACACAACTGTAGTGACAGATCTCCAGACTGACCATCGTAGGGTACTGGTGGAACATTAGAGGCATCATCTTACATAGAACACAACTGTAGTGACAGATCTCCAGACTGACCATCGTAGGGTACTGGTGGAACATTAGAGGCATCATCTTACATAGAACACAACTGTAGTGACAGATCTCCAGACTGACCATCGTAGGGTACTGGTGGAACATTAGAGGCATCATCTTACATAGAACACAACTGTAGTGACAGATCTCCAGACTGACCATCGTAGGGTACTGGTGGAACATTAGAGGCATCATCTTACATAGAACACAACTGTAGTGACAGATCTCCAGACTGACCATCGTAGGGTACTGGTGGAACATTAGAGGCATCATCTTACATAGAACACAACTGTAGTGACAGATCTCCAGACTGACCATCGTAGGGTACTGGTGGAACATTAGAGGCATCATCTTACATAGAACACAACTGTAGTGACAGATCTCCAGACTGACCATCGTAGGGTACTGGTGGAACATTAGAGGCATCATCTTACATAGAACACAACTGTAGTGACAGATCTCCAGACTGACCATCGTAGGGTACTGGTGGAACATTAGAGGCATCATCTTACATAGAACACAACTGTAGTGACAGATCTCCAGACTGACCATCGTAGGGTACTGGTGGAACATTAGAGGCATCATCTTACATAGAACACAACTGTAGTGACAGATCTCCAGACTGACCATCGTAGGGTACTGGTGGAACATTAGAGGCATCATCTTACATAGAACACAACTGTAGTGACAGATCTCCAGACTGACCATCGTAGGGTACTGGTGGAACATTAGAGGCATCATCTTACATAGAACACAACTGTAGTGACAGATCTCCAGACTGACCATCGTAGGGTACTGGTGGAACATTAGAGGCATCATCTTACATAGAACACAACTGTAGTGACAGATCTCCAGACTGACCATCGTAGGGTACTGGTGGAACATTAGAGGCATCATCTTACATAGAACACAACTGTAGTGACAGATCTCCAGACTGACCATCGTAGGGTACTGGTGGAACATTAGAGGCATCATCTTACATAGAACACAACTGTAGTGACAGATCTCCAGACTGACCATCGTAGGGTACTGGTGGAACATTAGAGGCATCATCTTACATAGAACACAACTGTAGTGACAGATCTCCAGACTGACCATCGTAGGGTACTGGTGGAACATTAGAGGCATCATCTTACATAGAACACAACTGTAGTGACAGATCTCCAGACTGACCATCGTAGGGTACTGGTGGAACATTAGAGGCATCATCTTACATAGAACACAACTGTAGTGACAGATCTCCAGACTGACCATCGTAGGGTACTGGTGGAACATTAGAGGCATCATCTTACATAGAACACAACTGTAGTGACAGATCTCCAGACTGACCATCGTAGGGTACTGGTGGAACATTAGAGGCATCATCTTACATAGAACACAACTGTAGTGACAGATCTCCAGACTGACCATCGTAGGGTACTGGTGGAACATTAGAGGCATCATCTTACATAGAACACAACTGTAGTGACAGATCTCCAGACTGACCATCGTAGGGTACTGGTGGAACATTAGAGGCATCATCTTACATAGAACACAACTGTAGTGACAGATCTCCAGACTGACCATCGTAGGGTACTGGTGGAACATTAGAGGCATCATCTTACATAGAACACAACTGTAGTGACAGATCTCCAGACTGACCATCGTAGGGTACTGGTGGAACATTAGAGGCATCATCTTACATAGAACACAACTGTAGTGACAGATCTCCAGACTGACCATCGTAGGGTACTGGTGGAACATTAGAGGCATCATCTTACATAGAACACAACTGTAGTGACAGATCTCCAGACTGACCATCGTAGGGTACTGGTGGAACATTAGAGGCATCATCTTACATAGAACACAACTGTAGTGACAGATCTCCAGACTGACCATCGTAGGGTACTGGTGGAACATTAGAGGCATCATCTTACATAGAACACAACTGTAGTGACAGATCTCCAGACTGACCATCGTAGGGTACTGGTGGAACATTAGAGGCATCATCTTACATAGAACACAACTGTAGTGACAGATCTCCAGACTGACCATCGTAGGGTACTGGTGGAACATTAGAGGCATCATCTTACATAGAACACAACTGTAGTGACAGATCTCCAGACTGACCATCGTAGGGTACTGGTGGAACATTAGAGGCATCATCTTACATAGAACACAACTGTAGTGACAGATCTCCAGACTGACCATCGTAGGGTACTGGTGGAACATTAGAGGCATCATCTTACATAGAACACAACTGTAGTGACAGATCTCCAGACTGACCATCGTAGGGTACTGGTGGAACATTAGAGGCATCATCTTACATAGAACACAACTGTAGTGACAGATCTCCAGACTGACCATCGTAGGGTACTGGTGGAACATTAGAGGCATCATCTTACATAGAACACAACTGTAGTGACAGATCTCCAGACTGACCATCGTAGGGTACTGGTGGAACATTAGAGGCATCATCTTACATAGAACACAACTGTAGTGACAGATCTCCAGACTGACCATCGTAGGGTACTGGTGGAACATTAGAGGCATCATCTTACATAGAACACAACTGTAGTGACAGATCTCCAGACTGACCATCGTAGGGTACTGGTGGAACATTAGAGGCATCATCTTACATAGAACACAACTGTAGTGACAGATCTCCAGACTGACCATCGTAGGGTGGTGGTGGAACATTAGAGGCATCATCTTACATAGAACACAACTGTAGTGACAGATCTGCAGACTGACCATCGTAGGGTGGTGGTGGAACATCAGAGGCATCATCTTACATAGAACACAACTGTAGTGACAGATCCCCACACTGACCACCGTAGGGTGGTGGTGGAACATTAGAGGCATCATCTTACTAACTACACAACTGTAGTGACAGATCTCCAGACTGACCATCGTGAGTACTGGTGGAACATTAGAGGCAGAGTATTATATGCTTCTGAAGTTTGTTGCCCCCAATCTCCAGACGTTATTACTGTTTTTAATTATTTGCCTCGGCAGCTGTGATCGCTAACGTGCACAGTCATTGTACTACTGTGTGCTATCAAGCGTGAGCTTCAGACCACTCGCTCTCCAAAGAATTTCGGTTCGATCCCCTGCTGTGGTGGTGGAAAAAAGAGAGTGATGTCTGATAGGGTTAGTTGTTATCCCTCCGATGGCCCGGTGGTTTCCCCCCCCCCCCCCCCGTAGGTTTTCCTCCACCACGAAAACACCATTTGTTCCCTTAGTGGCGTCGTAATAAAAGCTCTACAGAGCTTATGTTTGTTGTTGACAATTGTACATGACGTTAAATAAAGATTATTATTATTATTATTATTAATATAATATTGGGTAAATTATCTTAAACAATGACACAACAGCCACAAGCATGGGCTAATACTATAACCTTTTGGACAGCAGACAGGCACACTATTAATAGCTTAAACTACCCATGAGACCCATTAAATTCCATGTTTTCATATGTAAGAGATGTGTCGTCCAGAACTACCAGAGCTACCACAACATATAGACTGTATTTCCCTTTAGCAAAAACAATATTTTTAAATGCTTTTTTAGCTACAGTTGCTCTGTTTAATGGAATGAACTTAGTGATGTTATTAAACAGTCATGCAGTGTAGATGTTTTTAAAAAGAAATAAATAGAAATGTTTTACAGCAAGTAATAAGTGTGAAACATAATGATATCTGTGATATTTATCAATGTATATATGCATCTTTTATTAAGAATTGTATTTATTATCATTCTACCATTGTCTTATTAAGTCTGTACATATATGTATAACAGGGCCGTATTGTAAACTATACTATGTCTAAATATGTAACCCTGTAAAAATAAAAGATATTATTATTATTATTGGGGTGGAATAGGTGGGGTTGGGTGTACCTACAGTGCTAGTACCAGTGCTCTATATAGTTCAAGTTCAAGTTCAATTTGTTTATTTAAGTGTCACATATCACAATTACATTTATGTTCATTAATACATATAAAATACTTGTACAAAATATAAATCAATTCCATTGGTACATATAAAATACTTGCAGTTGGCTGTTTCCTAGAACTTAAAATAGTTTGTTTAACATAAAAAAAACCACTTGTAATAGGGATCAATATCGACATTAGATTATTGTGAGACTACCCTTCTTATTATTATTAACATGTAGGTTGCAGTGACTCAAAGTGCGCTACCTTAGGGTTGGGGAGAGCCCTACCAGCGAAGACAGGTCGCCCTGCGCCACTGCAATCATACGATGTTATGTATATGTCATATAATATATGTTCTCCACTACATATCTTGGAATACTTACTGAATCAACTTTATTACACTTCAACCTCCAGTTTCCACCATGACAATTATTTACATCTTCCCTAAAAAGGTAAAACACAAAAATATTCTATAAAATTCAATGAGATTATTTTGCTTTATGTAATATCACAAAATGTTCATCTTAAAAAAGTTTATGGCCCTGGTAGTGAACACATTGAATAGTTTGAATTGTATGCCAAAATATGATATGTCTTGTCAAGTTATCATGTTTGGCATTGTATCTGTGAAAAAGATCACTACATCTCGACTAGGGGAGGTATTTGTGATTTGGCCTTATGTTTTGATTGGATGGCAGAGGACTTGCACTGTGCAGTCAGGTGTGATGATCTGTCCACCACTAATCTAATTGTCCCACTACAGTTATCCAGCGAGAACGTCACACAGGTGTGATGATGATCTATCCACCACTAATCTAATTGTCCCACTACAGTTATCCAGCTATAATGTCACCCAGGTGTGATGATGATCTGTCCACCCCTAATCTAATTGTCCCACTACAGTTATCCTGCTAGAATGTCACACAGGTGTGATGATGATCTGTCCACCACTAAACTAATTGTCCCACTACAGTTATCCAGCTAGAATGTCACACAGGCGTGATGATGATCTGTCCACCACTAATCTAATTGTCCCCCTACAGTTATCCAGCTAGAATGTCACACAGGTGTAATGATGATCTGTCCGCCACTAATCTAATTGTCCCACTACAGTTATCCAGCGAGACTGTCACACAGGTGTGATGATGATCTGTCCACCACTAATCTAATTGTCCCACTACAGTTATCCAGCTAGAACGTCACACAGGTGTGATGATGATCTGTCCACCACTCATCTAATTGTCCCACTACAGTTATCCAGCTAGAATGTCACACAGTTGGTATGATGATCTGTCCGCCACTAATCTAATTGGCCCACTACAGTTATCCAGCTAGAATGTCACACAGGTGTGATGATGATCTGTCCGCCACTTATCTAATTGTCCCACTACAGTTATCCTGCTAGAATGTCACACAGGTGTGATGATGATCTGTCCACCACTAATCTAATTGTACCACTACAGTTATCCAGCTAGAAAGTCACACAGGTGTGATGATGATCTGTCCACCACTAATCTACTTGTCCCACTACAGTTATCCAGCGAGACTGTCACCCAGGTGTGATGATGATCTGTCCACCACTAATCTAATTTTCTCACTACAGTTATCCAGCTAGAACGTCACACAGGTGTGATGATGATCTATCAACGACTAATCTAATTGTCCCACTACAGTTATCCAGCTAGAACGTCACACAGGTGTGATAATGATCTATCAACGACTAATCTAATTGTCCCACGACAGTTATCCAGCTAGAACGTCACACAGGAGTGATGATGATGAACTATTAATGACTTACCAAATAGGTCTGCGTTCGTCCCTCATCAGATGGTAGGGATATCTCACGTTGAGCATATCAACACCTGGTATGTTGCTGTAACCAGCCCAGAAACCCTGCATAAGCATACAATATATAGTATTATTAATCAGAAACCCCAGAAACCCTGCATAAACATACAATATACATTATTATTAATCAGAACCGCAAGAAACCCTGCATAAACATACAATATATATTATTATTAATCAGAAACCCCAGAAACCCTGCATAAACATACAATATATATTATTATTAACCAGAAACGCAAGAAACCCTGCATAAACATACAATATATATTATTATTAACCAGAAACGCAAGAAACCCTGCATAAACATACAATATATATTATTATTAACCAGAAACGCAAGAAACCCTGCATAAACATACAATATATATTATTATTAACCAGAAACGCAAGAAACCCTGCATAAACATACAATATACATTATTATTAATCAGAACCGCAAGAAACCCTGCATAAGCATACAATATATAGTATTATTAATCAGAAACCCCAGAAACCCTGCATAAACATACAATATATATTATTATTAACCAGAAACGCAAGAAACCCTGCATAAACATACAATATATATTATTATTAATCAGAACCGCAAGAAACCCTGCATAAACATACAATATATATTATTATTAACCAGAAACGCAAGAAACCCTGCATAAACATACAATATATATTATTATTAATCAGAACCGCAAGAAACCCTGCATAAACATACAATATACATTATTATTAATCAGAACCGCAAGAAACCCTGCATAAACATACAATATATATTATTATTAATCAGAAACCCCAGAAACCCTGCATAAACATACAATATATATTATTATTAATCAGAACCGCAAGAAACCCTGCATAAGCATACAATATATAGTATTATTAATCAGAAACCCCAGAAACCCTGCATAAACATACAATATACATTATTATTAATCAGAACCGCAAGAAACCCTGCATAAACATACAATATATATTATTATTAACCAGAAACGCAAGAAACCCTGCATAAACATACAATATATATTATTATTAACCAGAAACGCAAGAAACCCTGCATAAACATACAATATATATTATTATTAATCAGAACCGCAAGAAACCCTGCATAAGCATACAATATATAGTATTATTAATCAGAAACCCCAGAAACCCTGCATAAACATACAATATATATTATTATTAATCAGAACCGCAAGAAACCCTGCATAAACATACAATATACATTATTATTAATCAGAACCGCAAGAAACCCTGCATAAACATACAATATATATTATTATTAATCAGAAACCCCAGAAACCCTGCATAAACATACAATATATATTATTATTAATCAGAACCGCAAGAAACCCTGCATAAGCATACAATATATAGTATTATTAATCAGAAACCCCAGAAACCCTGCATAAACATACAATATATATTATTATTAATCAGAAACCCCAGAAACCCTGCATAAACATACAATATATATTATTATTAATCAGAACCGCAAGAAACCCTGCATAAACATACAATATATATTATTATTAATCAGAACCGCAAGAAACCCTGCATAAACATACAATATACATTATTATTAATCAGAACCGCAAGAAACCCTGCATAAACATACAATATATATTAAGGTGTGATGATGATCTATCAACGACTAATCTAATTGTCACACTACAGTTATCCAGCTAGAACGTCACACAGGTGTGATGATGATGAACTATTAATGACTTACCAAATAGGTCTGCGTTCGTCCCTCATCAGATGGTAGGTATATCTCACGTTGAGCATATCAACACCTGGTATGTTGTTGTAAACAGCCCAGAAACCCTGCATAAGCATACAATATATAGTATTATTAATCAGAAACCCCAGAAACCCTGCATAAACATACAATATATATTATTATTAACCAGAAACGCAAGAAACCCTGCATAAACATACAATATATATTATTATTAATCAGAACCGCAAGAAACCCTGCATAAGCATACAATATATAGTATTATTAATCAGAAACCCCAGAAACCCTGCATAAACATACAATATACATTATTATTAATCAGAACCGCAAGAAACCCTGCATAAACATACAATATATATTATTATTAATCAGAAACCCCAGAAACCCTGCATAAGCATACAATATGTAGTATTATTAATCAGAAACTAGATGCAACATTTGACAATGCCATGCCCTATATAATATATTGACAGAGGGCTGCTATTGGTGATTTTGTAACTTATAAATGAAAGACAAAGTTGTAATATAACTGGCCAGTTTGAATAACTATATCAAATTATCTTTTGTAAGGGTGTGTCTCTGTGTAGGATACCAGTTTGGAGAATAGTTTGTTGGTTATTGTTTAAAACAGTGTTGGCTTCTAAGACCACGTAAAGTAGGCTTAAGCTTGTGTACAGTACAATACTATGACGTGGTAGCACTTGTCTTCCATTGACGATGTGAAGTAATGTAAATCTGTGGATTTCTAAACATTTTCTTCAGGTTGGTAAGTATGGATTTTGAAAGGTTCTTTTTACACAACCAATAAGATTTGCCATGTGACGTTTCGATGACTAGTACGATATGTACATTGTCACCTTCATCATACAAATGACCTGTGAAGCGTACGCACACAGGTGTTAAATGTGTACGAGTTGTCCACAAAATTGATGTCGATTCAGCTACGCTGTAAGAGTATGTACAATAGTTGTTATATATGTATCAAAATGACTTATTTCAGCTACGCTGTGTTTTATACTAAATCTATGTATATTACATACCTGTACTGTATTGACGGTATACAGTTTCCTCAGAGTTGCCTCATACTGGGCAGCTGAAGTTCCTGGGATTGATCTGTGGGGAAAGAATAAAAAAAATAAGTTTGAACGCAAGATAAGCAATTATATATAATGTTCTTCAAGATTTCTTCATCAAAGATTCATGATAGCATAAATTGCAATCTTGACCTTATCATTTAATCCATAAAATATGTTGTATGTGGTCTAGGTCTATTGAAATCCATGTCCAAACAGAAGACAAAATAGATGATAATTTTTTTCCTTCATAGAAAGCATGGACATATACAGGCCCTTTTTTTAGTTGAATATGGGTCAATTCCCCTCTCAATATTGGGCATTATTTCCCCCTTTTTTTTAGCTTTATTTCCCCCTATTTTAGTTCAAAATTTGATTCCCCCACTTGTAACTAAAATACAGTACCACATAATAAGTATCTGTTTATGTTCCATTATGGACTTTTTTCCCCGTCAGGTCCACGACTGAGTGATTTACTATGTATTTCATTTTCCCTGTGTTAATGTTAGTTGTCACTGCTGATTTTTTACGACATTGTTAACAGCTAGCCCAGTTTATGGTATGCAATATCTTAACAGTCACGTAAAAAAATTCATTATAAAGCATACACAGTTGTCAGTTTGAAGCGTCTATAATGAACAGCAAGAAACAAACAAAAAGGATGTCATCCATTGCCCCCTCTCGTACTCTCCCCCTGGCTCCGGACTGCAGCCCTCACTGGACGGATCATACACCTACAGTGCATATTTTCCCCTATTTCAAAAATGGTTGATAACTTTCTACACCTGCATTAATACCCGAGACATTTCACTGGTTTGGACCATATCAAAATCTAAGAACTTACGGTATGAGCTATAAATATAGATATGCACAGAAAATGAGCATGTAATATATGGCATTGTTAAATGATGACAAGTTGTCATTGACGTTGTTGAGTAAAGGAAGTGATTGCAATTAAGTCGAATGTCCTCGTGTCCAGGTAAAAAGACATTAACCTTATTAGTAAATAATGTGAAGCAGTTTGGTTTTTAATTTCGCTGTAATCAACTTATTCGGAAATTTCCGAAGCTGGTACCTCAATGCTATGGTAACCTAATTGATACACACACACACGCAAAATACAACATTCTTTAGTCTAATTACAAAATAATAATTTCTTTAGAAATATAATCTTTATTCCATGCCAACAGACAACCAGCACTAAAATAAAACCTCTATACATGCTGTATATGTCTGCAGAGTGATCAAACTGACATGGATCAACTGGCACGCACGGTGTGACCCCCAATCGACTTCCAAGAAATGCACCTCTCTTGGCACCATTATTTGGGTCGGATTCAAATTCAGCAGACGGATTGATTGAATAGTCTGATTAAGTGATCTAGGTATAAACGATCATGCACACATACATGCGTTCGATCAAAATAAGGCAATTACATGCTCGTACATGTGATATACAGTAAACGCATTCTACCAGTGTGTCAAAATATTCTAAAGAGAAAGTAAGTCGTCAAAACCTTGACCAATATTTTTAGCGACGTCAACATTTTCAAGCTTAGCAAACGTCATTACTTATCGAGCCAGAAAGTCCATGGAGTGTTCAAAGGCACGCCTGTCTGCTCCGTAGAATGGATTTCGCTTAATTTTGAGCGGGGAAGCTGTGGACTGCCCATCATTCTTGAATCAGTAGCATTTATGGACCCTATCTCGGATACGCTGGATGCCGCCATGGTAGACCATTGCTGTCTCAGGTAGGGTCATGTGATCAAAACAGTTTACGTCAGACCGTGTTTTCATTTGTTCGGAACACCTCGAGAATGTTCCATCAAATCCCATAAGAATATTTTTTCTCGTGGTTTTCTAGACTCTACATCAAGCAACATTATCACCGGCATGCTCGAAATTCCACTAAAATATCAGGATGAAATCGAAGCACAGTGCACAACTCTGCTTAACGGTAGAAGCACGGACTTAGATATACGTCTTTTCACCATTGCACTTGCAGGTGGGGGATCGGGAAAATAATTCACCTGCTGTTACCCACGGCATGTATCGTAGGAGGCGAATAATGTGGATCTCCCTGCAGAATTGGGGGTTTGATTTGGTGTCCTCTATTTGGGGACACAAACGCGACCAGCATAAAGCTGCATTCATTGCAATATTTGGGATCTTTATCTTTCTTTCTACTTCTAACGTCATAGAACCCCAATCGGGACACTTGAAGGAAAAAGTCACAAGAAATGTGTATGCTGTGCAAAGAAGTATTTTTAAATTGAAAATATTGATTTAAATATTCTAATATAGCAATAAAACATTATATGAATTTTATTTACTGCCACTTATGGTTACAGTAACTGTATTAGTTTGTAAATAATGACGAAAATGTAACGTCACTGTACCCAAATCGGGACACTTTTTAGATAAATATCAATGTCTTTATACCACACTATCGGTTCCAAAAATGTTTGTTCATTTTTCATAAATAGAGTACTATCCACTTTTCATTTCTATTGCAAGTTTATATTTCGGTCGCGTGGTTCTATAAATAAAACGCGAAATACCACCAGGGCTACGTTTAACCAGCGTAACTGTACCCTGAAAGGGACACTTCGGTATTTTGGCTAAAAGTTGGGCATAAACGATCAATATCAGCAGAAAAGAAGACATATTTCAAATATTTTATAGTCAAATAGGGTTATGGTTAAATCTTCTCCAAACTAGCATTATTTTTGATAAAATAGACTTTTGAAAATGATATCAAAATAAATAGCTTCGCACGGCACGTAAATCGGGAAAGTTTAGTTTTGGTCATTATTCTTACCTTTAAATTGTCCATGTAACGATAATCAGCAGCCAACAAAGCTTACATACAGTTAAATTGTCGTAAAAGTATTATGAAATGAAAACTGTATACATAAACGTACTTCTTTTTATTGAATGACATTTTCTTGGGCCATTTTCCCATAAGTGTCCCGTTTTGGGGTACTGTCCCGATTTGGGTACAGTGACGGTAATGTTCTAAATTGATGCGCCATGCGACGTTATTGATTTTCAGTTTTTGTATGTGACTTTTCACAATCCTACTATTTTACAAAAAAATGACAAATTATGAATTGAATATTCTTATAACCATCACAACTAAAAAAAATCACGTTCCCTTTGTGCTGACATTACATTCCCCTAGCTCTATCACTAAGAGTGACTTAACTTCATAGTAAGTCTTGATTGAAAGCCGAGACACCAAACTATTCTTGCATAGCAGCACATTTCATAGGCCACACCTTATATTTTGTCTGACAGCCATTTTCTCGAAACCATGCAGCTGTCAATTGTTCCTTACACATCAGCTGTCAATTGTTCCTTAAGCTTACAATTGACACCTACTAGGCCTATTTGGACATTTGTTTTCATCATAGATCGATACGAGTTCATCAAGAGTAAAGATAGTACAATAGATCTTCATGACCGCATTTACAGTTCCCTTAAATGACCTTAGCTGTTAATAGGACGTTAAACAAAATTAAACCAAACCATATACGTCTCTGGTAGAAGCGATTGGTCAGTTTTTCTTTTTACCTGAAACAGAGGCGTACTCGGACCTCTGCATGGCTTTAAATGTATACGTCTCTGCCTGAAAGCGCTCAACTAACTCACGCGTCTTCGATTTTGTTATGACATATTCCAGGGGTTCAAAGAATTAACGTATTTAATAAAGCGTACACTTTGGGAGTCAATGCTTTCCTAAATCATCAATGTTTTAATAACGACAGTGACTGATTTGTTCAGTTAGAACAAATCGACAATTAAGCTACATAGGTAGCACCTTCCATTTACAAATAAGTTCTTCAGAGACGTATACTCACACGGAATTAATACTTATCCGAGTTCCGTTGAATTATCCAAAACGTAGCTTACCATCTACATATATACTGTATGTAGATGGTAAGTTCAGTGGTGATTTCTGTCACCTGAGACTGACACATATCTCAAGTGACAAAGTTCACAATTCAGGCATAGAATAAAATATTTCAGAATGAGTTTGCGGCGGCCGCGGGGTAAGTCAGCTAGCCACTCCTGATATTTGTGGTCTGGTGTAAATAATCAATTATGAAATGTACTAAAAGGGAGAAAGTTACTTCTTGGTGGAAAGAAAGAAGTCATAACCTCTCCGTTCTTTCTAGTTTTGCGAATTGTCTGTGAACTGAATTGCTACTTATTTATGCCATACGTGTAACACACTGGCAGCTTCACATGATGTTACACATAATAGGGGTGTAACACTGACCTCCGCATTGCTTTAATAGGCAAGGTCCGCCCCCGATACCAGGGCATAAAGCAGTACTTGATTCTATTGTAGTTGAAGTGAAGAAATGCGTGATATTTTGACAATTCTCAAGACAGGAAACGCGTCTGATCGTGATACCGTAAGTTATAATATGTTAAAATTTACAGCAAGTTCTATATGTAAGCCGTTGGCAATCTTTTTCAATATGACACTAATTTCTAATATACTCTATGAAATATGGAAAAAAAATCATGTTTTACCTTTGTTTAAAAAGGTGTAATAGACATGTACACCTGGTGTCAAATTATACCGATTTTGCTATCTAAGTCCGTGCTTTGATTGACCTGTATTTAAGTACATTTATAATTCATTACCTGGATCATTCCTTATTTTACAAAAAAACAATTGGTTTTATAATACATACTTGTTTCATATTTTGTGATCTAAGGCTTTTGACCGAGCTCGGCATGAGGATTTGTTACATACAGTATGTGTAACAAAATCGAACATATACAAAACCTACAACATAACTAACACTCACTGCTTTTAACCAGTTTTTATCCTATAGCAAATAATAAAAATATAATAAAAAATCACTGTACATAACAACGCACTACAGCACAAGACCAGTAAGCTGATGGACCACATCATCCACAGCAGTCTAATGGACCACATATAACAACACGGCATCCTATCTGATTACCAACACGGATTCAGGAAGAAGAGATCCTGCGAGAGCCAGCTGATCCTGACCATAGACGACATTGCCAGGAGCCTCGGCAAAGGTGGTCAAGTCGATGCAGTCCTCCTCGACTTCTCGAAGGCTTTCGACAAGGTCCCGCACCAAAGCCTTCTGCGCAAGCTCCACTACTATGGTATCCGATGGAACACGCTCAAGTGGATTGAAAGCTTCCTATCCAACCGTACTCAGAAGGTTATCCTTGAGGGCCAACAGTCATCAACATCTCCAGTAACATCAGGAGTTCCTCAATGAACTGTCCTCGGACCTCGACTATTCCTGGTCTTCATCAATGATCTCCCCTTTTGTGTAACATCCACTACTATTCCTGGTCTTCATCAATGATCTCCACTTGTGTGTAACATCCACTCCTTGCTTGTTCGCTGATGACTGTTTGTTGTACAGTTATTTCCACTCGTGACAACTCTGCACAACTACAACAAGACCTGGACAGACTACAGGAATGGGAGGATATATGGCAGATGAGCTTCAACCCAGAGAAATGTGAAGCCATCCGGATAACGGATAACCGGACAAGGAATCCCTTGGTCACGACCTATTCCATCCACGGTCAAGATTTAGAGACAGTCCCGACGGCTAAGTGTTTAGAAATGCACCTCCAAAAATAACTTCTCTTGGAACAAACACATTGAAGCTGCCAGCAAGAAAGCCACTTCCACCGACGCTTTCGCGCAGAGGACACTGAAGAAATGCCCAGCTGATGTGTTGGCGGCCTGCTACGCCACCTTGGTACGCCCCATCATCGAGTAGTGATCTGTCATCTGGAGTCCACATACTCATTCCAACATCAGCAAGCTAGAACAGGTCCAGCGGAAGGCAGCCAGGTATGTTATAGGCCATTTCAGCAAATACAGCAGTGTCACAACCATGCTGCAGACACTCGGCTGGCACACCCTGCAGGAGCGGAGAATTCAGATCCAGCAGGTGATGCTGTATAAAATCGTCCACGGCCTTATCGACATCCGCCCAGAACCATACCTTCTGCCTACATCAACAACAGAAAGGACCAGAGGACACGACAACCGGTACGTCCGACCAACATCAAGAACACAGACGTACCAACATTTATTCTTTCCAACAGCAGTGAGGACGTGGAATCAACTACCATCGTCAGTTGTGACAGCACCATCTGCTGATGCCTTCCGTCACAGCATCAGCAAGTTCCAGCTAACATCCACCCTCAACTAAACAGAAGATGATAGATCTGTTTTTAACTCGGTGCGACAATATTCTTATGAATGATGCATATGATTGTGAAGAAGAAGAAAAAGAAGAAGAAGAAGACCGAAACTGACAAGATCAAGATGGCGGCGTTGGGTTAAGAAGCGTATGAAGGAGCTCCAGTAATTTTCTCTGAGAATGCTTGTTTAGTAACCCCGAAAGTCCCCAATATTGGACTGTGTGACGGTGAGAGGATTTCTAACGTAATGGTAATATTATTTTGAAATATTCCCTTTGCGGACCATACTATCATTTGTTACCTGTATACCTGAGCTACATACATGTACCTGAACGATATCTGTGTTGCACGTGCAGACTAATATACTCACCTATGTGACTTGTATGCTAGTACTGGAGTTAAACCCTGGACTTATGTGGGGGTTTTGTGAACGTTTATTCGTACGGGTACATAATAAAATACATGTTCATATTTTGTATAATCTGGATTTTGATGTGCGTTTACTGTGTAAGAACGGAAAACAGACCAGTA